GTGGTTGGAGGGACAGCAAGGCAAGGCATTCCCTTTTTTTTTTTTTCTTTTTTTTTTTCTTTTCAGCGCAAGCAGCTACTAGGGGTGCTGATTTGATCAGACATTCCTCAATTTGTGCTGGTCCCCCTTTTCACAAGGACCATGCCAATAACCTTCGTTCATATTTTTTTTCCTTTGTTTTTTTCCCCCTTTGTTTTTTCCCCCTGATAATCTTCATTTGGCGGAAGAGTCGCCATGATGCAAAACTTTGCTTTATGTACTATGGTTTTTCTGGTGGGGGGATAATTTGCAAAATAGCCCCCTAAGTTGAGGTATTTGCCAAAATGCCCAAGGAAGATGTGGGTAGAGCGGAATGCCCTTTTAGGCCAAATTCTTTGTGTTATGCCCCTGTCACAGGCTATCAGGTCGGTGCGCAAATTTGCAATTGGGACCTCGCCGTTTGGGCCTGGGCATTTGCGATCGACCCTCGGAGAAGTTGGCAAGTACCGGGGCATTTTGCAAAGTTGGACGCTATCCGGCAGGGGGTATATTTGCAAAGATGGGGGGTCCAACCAACACCAGGGGTATTTCACAAAAGATGTTTTCTGTCAGACGGGTATTCCGCTCTATTCACATCTTTCATGGGCGTTTTGGCATATATGCTATATCTCAACTTACAGGGGTATTTTGCAAGTTATCCCTTTTTTCTTTTCCTCGGGGTACTATGTGATTTTTTAGAATTGCACGGATGACATTGAATGTCTCTTTTGTTTTGTTTTGTTTTGTTTTGTTTTGTTTTGTTTTGTTTTCTCTTCTCTCCTCTTCTGGATGACATTGCATGTCTGTTTTCTCTTTTCTCTCCTCTCGTCTCCTCTCCTTTCCTCTCTCCTCTCCTCTCCTCTCTCCTCTGCTCTCCTCTGCTCTCCTCTGCTCTCCTCTGCTCTTCTCTCTTCTCTCCTCTCATCCTCTCCTGCTCCCCTCTGCTCTGCTCTGCTCTCCTCTGCTCTCCTCTCCTCCTCTCCTCTGCTCTGCTCTCCTCCTCTTCTCTCCTCGCCTCGCCTCGCCGCCTCTCGCCTCCTCTCCTCCTCACACCAAGACTTTCCTGGGTGGCTCTAACTGAAATTGTGACTTCTCCTGTATGCATCTGACTGTAATTACCTCCAGATACGAGTCACAAACATCCTAGGAGGAGAATGTCATTGGTTGATGGAAGCGGAGGCCGGTCGTGGCAATGCTGTGGCTTATGAACACGGG